TCTGTTGCCATTTTTTCTCAGCTCTCACCGAACCAATGTTTTTCAACGATATGACAAAAGATCACAAATCGTATCTAGTCGAAGACATAACACTCAAAAATTGAAAAAAGTTTCCTCGTTCCCCGTAAATGGGGGAAACCTCCAAAAAATTACAAATTTAAAAAACGCAAATTTTTTCAATTTTTTTTACTTAAAACTGCCATAACTTTTTCAAAATTGAACAAATCAATATAATTCTTTTTTTTATGGATGCATGATGCCTATAACTATCATTTGGTATATTTTTTTTATAAATCTACCTCTTTACCTGTCTACAGGGGGGATTTAAAATGACAACTTTTTCAACTTAACTTTTGAAAATGTTCTGGAAATACTGACACTTTTATATACATTTTAAATTAAAGCTAATGTCATGTACTTTATTATGGAAAAAAAAATTTCGGACTTTATTTTGTCTTCACGGAGAAAATAGATACCGAATGCTATTTTTGTGTGAAAATTCTCGATTTTATTTTTACATTTTTATCTTTATAATGATATAATTTATTGAAAAGTGTATGGATCAACACAATTTTTTTACGAGAAATAATATTTTTTAATTATCCTAATAAGGAACAAGCAGATCATGTAGCTTTTGGAATAATACAACAATTTTTTAAAATTAAATACTATCTAAAGATTTGCATGGAAGCGAATTTTATTTATAGTGATTTTAAATTGTCATATATCATTATACTTGATCCAACTATGCTACGTCACCACTGTGCCGCGACCCCCCTGTGCTGGTTTTTTTTTTTATGTATTTAAGAAAATTGAAAATTTTCAACAATTTTTGTTTTAGAGTGTACTCCAAGTTTTTTTTATAAAATTAAAAATATTTTATTTGATTAATAAAAATTAATATTATCAACTTTTTAAATAATTTTCTTTTATTAAAAACAAATTTTCGTTAGTATTTTCCAAGTTGATTCCAAATAAATAAAATTATGTTTTTATTACAGACTCATTAAATAAAAAACAAATATATTCATATCAAACTATTTAAGGTTATATAACATTTTAATAATAATAAAAATATAAATAAACACAAAAAATATTATTATATGCCTGCAGGATCTACTATTAATAGTACGCCGGTTAACATAATTTATGTTTTTGAAAACGAATTTTATGATCAGTTATCAATAAAAAATGATACCTATTTAAAATTTTCTTTACAAATTGTTTTTAGTTAATAATAATCAACTAAGTAGAATTATGGCAAAAGAAAAAAATATAAAAGTGATCTTAATTGTATGGTTATTTTCCAAAAACTGATTCGTCAATTTGAACCATTAAAAAGAATATTAATTATTCTTCTCCTGTATCTAAAATAATTTTAACTTCGATACGAAACTGAGAAGTTATTAATTTTACCATGATATGATTATTAATTTTTTTTTTGTGTCTGTCACTTCTTTTTCTCAGCTCTCACTGAACCGATTTTTCTTAACGATACGTCAAAAGATCACAAATCATATCTAATTGAAGACATTAATTCCTCTGCTTATTTGATTTCAATTAATAAGTTATATTTCATAAAATTAGTTAAATCCCATATTAAACACCTATTCCATATTCGAATATTCCATAAGAATCTCCTCTATAATATTTTTAATATAATCTCTGATGGAAACTGAGTTTATTAAGATTTGTTTTTTGTATTAAATACCATAAAAGATTTAAATTAAAAACAATCTTCAAAAAGCTCAGTAGAAATATAACTACTGTATGATATTTGGTATCAAAATCATTTTTAAACTAATTAAATGTATGAAGTTTAACATTATTTTAATTTTTTAATTCAGTAGAAAATAATAATTAATAATAACATATGAATGTAGCCCAAATGTGTTTATATAATATTATTTATATTATATTAATCAAAAATTAATATTGTTTAGAAACTAAGTGAACCCAGTACAATGGGAGGACGCGGCATAGTTGGGACAAGCATAAATAGTATTTGACAGCGATTAAAATCACTATTGTACAAAAGCTTCGAAAACTCTTTAGATAGTATTTAGTTTGTATAAGGAATTGTCGAACATTTCCATTTATTATACAAAAGTAACTATATTGAATCACTCCTGTAGGCAGTTAAAAGGTTAGATCTAAAAAAAAAATATAATCTTAATAAATAAGAAACACCTAAGGTATTTATTTAAAATAATAATTTTTATCTATTTTTCAAAAAGTTATGACAGTTTTATGTCAAAATTAATAATAATACAAAACGGCACAAGTGCAATTTTTTAGTTAATTATAGATTAAAAAAAAATAAATATATAATTCAAGTATAATTATATTGCTAAAGTATCAAGATAAGTACATACCAACACTATTTCCATAAAATTCTAGAAATAATTGTTTTAATATAATAAAGACACATACAAAATATTTGTAAGAAAACTACTAAAAATGGTTACTTTGATAATCCAAAAAAATTAAAAAAATTATTATTGATTTATTAATTAGAGAAAAATAATTAAAAATATGTTTCTAACGTAGTCCAAGAATACAATAATCGTTAAAAAATTAGGTGAAATATGAATATCGGATCAAAAGATATAAAAATGAGATCTGTTCCATCTGGTATATTAATAGATGTTTCTAAAAATCGTCGAATGATGGTATTATATTAGATGATACTAAATAAAACAAAAAGATATATATAACTTAAAAATGTCTATTACACAATAAATCACAGTAACATATATGAAGAACAATACATTTTAAATATTAGTTACAAAGATATTATTCATAATTATTAGAATTCTAAAAATGAAAATATTAATAAAAATCCAATTAGCTATCTGTATTTATAATCCCTTGTGTATTATACATGTATATTAACTCAAAAATTTGAAACTTTAAATGTTTATATCTAATTAACTAATAAAGTTATACTAAAAATTAAAATACAATTTACTATTGAATTAAAAATCCAAACATTTTATTAAATTCAAAATATGCGTTTCCATTAAAAAAACAAAGTTGAAACCCTTACCAGGCATAAGGGATGAACTTAAAAAGTATTACATAGTTAATAATTCAAGAATAATGTGTAACTAAAGATAACCTAAAAAAAAATGTTTAAATTATTATTATTCTGTAAGTAATTGAGTGGGTTATGATAAAAAAACAATTCTGTATATCTTGGATAGCTGAAAACTGAAGACATGTGTATTCTTGCATATAATTATAAAAGTTTTAACAAATAATTTGTTAGAACAATTTTGAATTATATTGAATTATTTAAATAAATCAAGTAACTAAAATTACTTATTAATTTTTTTCAATTTAAATAAATTATTTTTACTATAGATTTATTTACTATGATAAATAATTCTGTCATAAAATAATTTATGATGGCATTCATTTTTTTTAAATTCATAGTTAAATAAAGTATTTGATACACATATTTAAAATAATTGAGTAAAATATAAAATATATCTTTAGTACTACAAGGTATTTTCCATTTTAAGAATAATACAAAAAAATTATGTGTCTTTTTGAGGTTACTATTTATTTAAGATTATTTATTGTATTTTTTTTTTGAAAATTCTTTTTTAGATAAGATTTTATACGTGAGAATTTGGGGAGAGTTTGGTTTTATTCTAAACTTCCCAATTTAAAATTTGTATTTATTGTTATTAAAATAAAGTACCCTTTGTCAGATAACTTTATATTTGACGTGAAACTTCTTTATAGAGGGTCCGAAAAAAAAACAGATTATCAAGCGTCACGGTCGGCATCATAGTCGACTGTAAAGTATATTTTATATTATAATTTAGTACTGTATTTTCGAAAATAAAAGTAATTTTATTTAAAGCAATAATTAATTTTACGATGATCCGATCGACGCGTCGCGATGTTACACCTTAACTAAAGTTATACACGTCAATGAAAATTATGCGACTTCGCTTTCGTGATTAAACACATTGGCAAAGACACAATTTCAATTGAAAATAAAATATTTACTTGTATTTTTTTATTTTATCCCAATAAAAACTTAATATTCTATCAGTTGAATGACCAAAAGAAGTTACACTTCATCCTTGTATGTACTCGTAAAACGCGCTGTTTTTTTTAGCTTCTTTAGTATTTTTATCAAAATTTTGCCTGTATACATATTACTTTGTAAGTCAAAAAGACCATACATCGAAAATTCATGATGTTAACTTAGAATATCACGAAATTGTACCATAAAGTTATAGTATAATTAAATGCAGTTTAATATTCTTTATCTCAAAATACAAACTTTATTTGTAATTTTCGATTTTAACTTAATATAAATGCAAAAAAAACTAAGTATCACAAAATGTAATTGTTTCATAGTTCAGAACTTTGAAGTACCCTTTTACAAAATTTGATTTTTTTGCATTCACAATACACTATGGCAAAAAATAGACACATTAGACAATTTACAGTAAAATTATAACAATCATATATTTTAAGCTTTTTGTTAATGTCAAGCAAATTTTTTTTGTTTCGTGAAATTTTTATATAATAGTTGAAAGCGTAATTTGGTTATTACATTAGTGCCTTTATATTACAAAATACTATAAGTTACAAGTATGGAATAATAATAAAAAAAAAAAACATTGCGTCATCATTAAACTTTATTCTTTATTATATACTTCAGTTTGTAATAGATTAACAAATGAAAAATAATCAAGTAGAGATATAAAATATTATAAAAAAAAAATTTTATTTAAAGTACTATATCATGTAAGAGCATGTAAGAAAAGATTTTGGTCTATTTACCATAATATTGAAAAACTTCTTTGAATAATATTAACAGAAAATAATAAAATTTTGTTAAAATATACTAATATAATATATAATTATATATAATATAATTGCACGTATATATTGAAGAATTTTTTCTAAAATTAACTTCTCTAAAAAAACTCTACTATAGCAATGTGATATAATTTTCAATAACAAGAAAAAGTTTTTCTAGCTTAATTATATGAAAAATAAATAAATTAGCAATTTATAATTTATGAGTTTTCCACAATTATCATTGGTTTTATAATGTTGATAAATTTAACAATATAATAAGAATTTATCGGAATTTAACATAATATATTTATTTAATATACATTTTTTTAATAAGGACTTATTTTTATTAACTCATTTTTGATGATATTTTCAAGATATTTATTAAAATAATTGCATATGGGAATAAGTATTTGTCCAATGTCTTGATGACCTGATGGATGAATTTTCAAGAAATGATCAATCATTATATCAGGATTTTTAAAAAAATTAGAATTTAATTCACAATATACAGATGTACGCTCATAAAATGAAAGCCAATTTATAGAAAGGTTCTTTGACCAATAGTTAAACAGCTTTTGGTAGTAATTAATTATGATTTCTTCACTGATGAGGTCATTTATATCGTATATATTTTCTAAATTTATTGACATCAAATTGTTTTCATTTTCAATAAAACTAACGTACTCCCTAATTTGAAACTCTATACCCAATTTAGGACCAGGAATAATCAAACTATTTGATCCATTTATAAATGTTTCCAAAATTGGTAGCATAGTATTAAACAAAATATATGATTTTTCGATAGTTTTGTAAAGGTTCCTTAAATAGTCAATGAATGATAAATTATTTTTTACTTCCTCTTTGCTGCATATTTTAATTAAAACATTCAATGTTATGTAAAAATGTTGAAATATTTCAGTAAACTTACATCGTATTAGATGAGAAACTTGAATCTGTTTAGTTTTAAAAGTTTGGTAGTTGTTAATGTCGCCTTGTAATATAGAATCAGAACTAATATAGCCGTCTTTTCTTGAGAAAATTTTTATATGTTTAAACTCTTGTTTCCAATTTTTTATTATTTTATTAATTAATGCAATAACTTTTTCTCGACACATTTGCTCATTTAACAAAGGTGGTATAATTCTAAATAAAGAAAATTCTGTTTAGTTTGATAAAAATATTGTAATTAATTAAAAGGAATTCAAGTAATTTTTTCGGTAAAATATTACTGTTTTAATTAATAAATCTGTTTTAATTTAAAATAATCCACAGAGATATAAAAAAAAATATTTAATACTATAAGTATATATAACAAACTACAATAATTATATAGAATAATAGAAATGGAAATCATTTTTTTTTTTCATTTATATATTAAATATGTAATTTATTCAGGTTAAATCAATTTATACCATTACTAATATAATTGATTTAATTCTACTGTAATGAGACTTTACATGGCGAATTTAAAAATTCATAATGGGGGAATGTAAGGCACAGAAAATATTTTAAGTTACAAGCTAATATAAAAACTTTTTTCGACCATTTTTTATTTATTTTAAACTAATGATGACTGTTTATACTTTAACCTGTAAATTGATTACTTTATACATAAAATCTATTTGATGAAATTATAAAACTTACGTATTGTTATTATCGTACAACAATTTTTCAAATCCCAAGTTTTTATTTACATGTTCGATAACATTTTTATACAATAAATTAAGGTCATTACATACATATTTCATATCAGAATAAATAATAGAAAATTCTTTAACCTTTTCTGCGTCACCATACAAAATAAATAAATCATATGGTATATTATTAGGAAAAACACCACAATATTGATTAGTGATCGTGCAAAGTAAGTTAATATTTGGTACCGCTATATCTCTGCAAAAATTTGTCATGTAAACTTGTATATTTAATGCTACATCAAAATTTGGATTTTGATTTTTGTCCAAAAATTCTGGTTGGAATTTTGTAGCTATCAACTCAGTGAATTTTTTATAAATGTTAAAAATCTTGACTGTTGACTCAGAAACGTTTATTAAAGGATTTAAGAGTTTGAAATCTAAATTATACAAAAACTCTACAATATCATACAAGCAGTAAAACATTGTTCTTGAATTTTTTATTGTATAATACATTTGCTGAACACATTCAACAAAATCATCACGTTGTTGACTGTCCAAACTTCTTCGACAATTTTCTAAAGCAAACACAAATTTATACTGAAATAATTGAAGGATCTCGCTGAACCTGTAATTTAGTAAATGTATCATAAATTTGAGTGTCAGTTCGACTGACGAAGTAGTCACAGGTTTATTAAAATCCCAGTATTCAATTAAATTTTCAATAGTATTGTCTTTAACCACAATATGTTTTAATGATTCCAATGCTTTTTCATTTCGAATGTGATTCAATACATTAATAACATAAGTTTTATAAGAAACATCTGCCTTACATAGATGTGTTGAATATATACAAAATAATAAAAAAAAAAGTGGACAAAATTTCGTAATCATTTTAAGTTAAATGATGTGTAAGTGTAAAAAAGACAGTAGTCAAAAATCTCTTTAACACTCCAAAAAAAATTAAGTTGTAATTACAACGAATAAAAAAGATGTCAATGCCTTAAATAAATTGAATATATTTTTTATATGTTATACAATGTTTATTTAATTAAATACATAAAAATTTAAAGAAGTTAATAAAATTTATATATATATAAATGTATGTATGCTATTATATTTGAGTTTAAAAATATCTTGGAAAACAACGTGATATTTTTTTTTCAGCCGTTTTAAAATTCTGGCCTAGCGAAATTATATATTTATGAATTATAATAGTGGAACATTTAAGTGTTTAAAAAAATATATATAGCGTTTCTAATTTTTTTATTGAATATAAAATTGAATAAAATTGAAAACAATACTGTTGGATACACAACGGTCGAATATGCTGTCGAGGAATTGTGTGTTGTGATTATTTATGCTATCGTTGTACTACACCGAGTTGTTGATGATCTTTTCTCTATGTCTACATTGCCGCCGCCATCTTAGCGCGTTTATAGTTATAAGCTCTATGGCGTTTGCGAGCCCATAGTTTTATATTTGTTTTGTTGTAAAAGTAAAATATCAACTTTGCATTTGTCGCAACATTTTGTAAATCGCCGTTGGGTCTATTTATTTTCTGAGGTACATCACAGTACCTTCACAGCATATTGTACAGGTTGGTCAGCTACTTGCACTCGACTTCAATTGACAACAAATGCTTGTTCATCTTCATTTTAAGATTTATTGACATTTTTAATTTATAATTTTTATATCAGTGCCATTGTGACATTAGTATTAAGTGTCCCTGTTATCTACATTAGTGTAATAAGATTTTATGATTCATGTATCTTCTACTTCTTCTCCTCAATTCCAACTACTTGGGGTCGGCCACCCTTATCCTAAACTTACACTTGACACGATCTTCCACATCATCTATGCTCACATCAGCTGTCCTCATATTGCATTCAATAGCATTTCATGATTCATGTATAAAACTTTTTATTGTTATATGTTTTGAAAATTCATTCTTTATTCATTCATACAGTCTACTCACCTTTTTTCTTATCCTCGACAAGGCCTGACTTAGGACAAAATAAAACAACGAACCCGCGTGAGTATTAACGGGCTCTACGTTCCTTGAAATACTTTATTTTTATAAAATTTTATTAGATATTATCTTATTAGCTTACGCTACATCTCTTTTATTATTTAATTTTTAGATAACCTAATGAAAATAAATAAAAATAATTGTATAAGTGCCTGACTTCAAATCAATAAATGATAATACGTGGAACACTTGAAACAGATGAAGAAGAAATTGCAAAATAATTTGGAAAGTATTCAACAGATCAAGAAATTAGTATAGCTATAAGGAACTAAAAAACAACAAATCACTAGGTGAAGATGGTTTAGCTATAGAACTCTTGAAATACTGTGGTAAAGAATTGATAAATGAAATAAAGGAATTAATCAGAGAATTGTAGCATAAAGAAAAAATAACAAAATCATGGTTATTAGAAATAATATGTCCTATCTATAAAAAATTGTAATAAAATTTTATAATATGCTCACTTAATAACTATTAGCTTCGATGCGAAGCTGAGAAGGTATTAATTTTATTATGATGTTTTTTTTTTAGCTTCGATGTGAAGCTGAGAAGGTATTGGTTTTACTATGATGTATNTGAAGCTGAGAAGGTATTGGTTTTACTATGATGTATTTTTAGCTTCGATGCGAAGCTGAGAAGGTATTAATTTTACTATGATGTGTTTTTTTTTTAATTTTTTTTTTTTGTGTCTGTGAACGCTCAATCTCAGCTCTCGCTGGACCGATTTTGATGAACAATATGTCAAAAGATCACAAATCGTATCTAGTCGAAGACATTACCCTCAAAAATTGAAAAAAATTCCCTCGTTCCCCGTAAACGGGGGAAATCCCCCAAAAAATTACAAATTTAAAAATCGCTAATTTTCGATATTTTTTCAATTTTTTTTA